GCTAAAAAGGGAATTCCACACAATACTGAGTGTGGTTGAGAGTTTGGAGGAGAAAATGAGGATATGATAATGATACATTATGTAAGGAAAAGAAGAAAAGCCATTAAAAATTCTAGGAAATACACAATGAAGTCATGATCCAATTATGAAACTAGTCCAAATTAGAAAAGGAAATCAGTAGTTTCATGAAGATAAATGAAATGTATTGTAAGCAATAAATAGAAAGATTAAGAAGCTGGTAGATGGTTTTTGAAAAAGGCATAAGATTCTTCTCCCCATATTTTTAAAAGTGTGAGAAACTCACAGAAAAGCAAAAAGCTATGTCAAAGCTATAATCCACACACAAAACAAACTAAAATGGACATGGTTTTGAGCAATTGGTGGCACTCAAGAAAGGGTTATCCATTTGAACATCTCTTGAGTAGCATGGGATCATGACACTGGAAACATCAAGAAGGAAACAGCTCTGCAGTATTCCCCTACTCATAATAATGCAAAAGTTGAATGTCAATTTTCAACAGTTGGAATCAAACTGCAAAAAGAGCATGGAAAACTTAATTTGATTATGGAATAAACAAAAATGTGACCAACCATGACAGTGTCAAAATAAAACTATAGCTAAGCCAAGATAGGAGGTAGAAAGGAGAAAGGAGAAGAAAAGGTAGAGGATGACTGAGGAAGGGAGAACAGGTGATTACTGCTTTTCAGTAGAAGTCCTTTGTTCCGTGGGCATTATTTTGAACTAAAATATCTCTAAGTTTTAAGGAGGAAGCTGTTACCAGCGGCAAATGCTACAAAGAGGTCAAGTGAGAAAGAGCTAGATTTGGCCTTTAAGATCACAGGTGACCTTGGAAAGCTTTTTAGTGAATGTCGGGATGGAAACCAGAGTGCGGTGGGCTGAGGAATGAATGGGAAATGAAGAGCCTAAGAGGACAACTACACGGGCAGAACTCTAAGGACAGGAGGGAGGAAGAGAGAGGTTGCTAACAAGGTGGATTAAAAGGAAAAGGAAGCTTGCTGTTGCTATTTTTATTTATATGGAAAACTTGAGCATGTTTTTAATTTGATCCAGGAGAAGTGATGACAGGTAATGAAATCCGGAGTGGAGGGTGAGGAATCAGCCTTGGAGAGAAGAAGGGATATATACTCTTCCGAAATAAGAAACGAGGTAGGGGTGGATTCAGAGAGGGAGACAGACGGCTGGTGAGATCCAGCTAACAGCAGGATTCTGGAGCGCTTCTGGCTCCTAATGAATAGTATTTTGACCATTCTCAGTTCACTGCAAGTCCCTTTGGAAAACGATCAGATGCGAGAATTTTGAAAACATGAAAATTAGCTGAGATTAGAGTTGCTGATCATGCCATCCAAACCTGGGTGATCAATGTTAAAATGTATGTGCCAAAATCAGTACTTTAAATTTTGGGATAACATCAATTGCATTCTCCACATTATGAATTAAGATTATTACATTTAGCATCATAATTCTAGGACTACTTTTTTTTACCTGTATTCTGTCTCTCTTTCAAACTAATCTAATTAATATGGAAGGTTATTTGGCTACTAAACACTACAAATAGAAACCTATGTTTATGATAAATTTTAGAAATATACTTTGAGTAACTAGTTCTTTTTCAAATGGAAATGCAAATTAGCAGATAAATTGGTTGACTTTATTTTAAACTGTGAATGCCTTAGGAAAATTTATCCATGCTTTTTTGGGGTCTTTTTTATTTCTGTTAATGACCTTCCATCCTAAAATGTTTCTTCCTCTGGGCATTATGCTGCTGAAACAGTGTTGTGTCACTCCCTGCCAGGCTCGCCCTAAGTAACCTGAAGCCTGCAGACGGATTTTAATAAAATGAAGACATTTTATTCCTCCAAAGATTTTATTTTAAATTAAGATATAACTAAAGCCATAATTTTGAGATTGCAAAAATAGGCAACCTCATTAAAAATAAAACAACAGCCAAGGATATTTTGAAGCAGACTGACCGGGTTAAAAAGTCCTGGGAATAAAACTAAATCTGTGGTGACCACAGACACACATGGGTCATTGATAAGGCAGCCCCAGATTAGGAACATCAGAATGTCAGGGAGAGTTGGTAGTGAGCTAAAAGGGAGGCAGTTTCCATTGTGTGTCCTGGATTACTGGAACATGATACAGCCAGACTCTAGTGTAACAGCGCTCAACCCAGACCGAGGGTTGTTTACAATACCCAAGGCAATTTGAAACTTCGCGATTTCAACAATGGCATCAACTGACTGAAATGTTTTTGAGTAATGTAATCACAGCGATTTATCACTTCACACGAATGTGTTTCTCGCCTATAAACAGGCTACTCCTTCTAACTCACACATAACTGAAGTAATGAATTTGCCGTCTTAATATCGCTCTCTATTAAAAAGGACAAAGCAGGTTTTCAGAGTTGAAATAAAACTTTACTTCCATCATCTCATCAACCACTTTGTTTTATTAGCCTGCAATCACTGCCATTCTGCCTAGTCCTGGTTCTCGGTGAGCCGTACTCATTGTCCTACCCTTGTCTTTAGCAGCCTTTTCTAATCACTGCCTGTTTATGAACCCTTTGTGTAGCCTCTGACACATCTTTCAGGCTAACATTCCTATGCTTTCCTTCTGTGTTGGTTTGCCCCTCTCTAGGTCATGTTCACTCTCTGTTTATTACTCTGATCTACTCTTTGATCCACACTCTTCTTATTTTGACCATTTCTACCTTCTTGAGATCCAGATTTCACTTCTCAGATTAGCCTTCTTCTATACTAGCCTAATGAAATTGCTCTGTACTTTCACATATTAACTGCTTACCTTGCTTCTCTGTAAAAAACTGTCCCTCTTTAAGAATTACCACTAACATTGCTTTCATTCAAATCTTTGCTTCTAACCTCTTAGAAACATGCTCTTATTACCCCCAAACTTTTCATTTTCCATTAGGTTCTACTTTCTTAACACCTACTTGCTGCTTCTTTTCTGTCTTTCCCCTAGTTCTTGGCTACTTAAATTGTTCCCTATGACAGGCTGTCCTTCTCCAACTTTTCCACTTAAAAATCTGATTATTGAGGAATTGACCTAAATTTTACTTCCTTTTCCTTGTGTTTTCTAATTTATGTATTCACCGTCTCACTGAGGGAGCTGAAATTAAGCATAATTACTAATTTTGTCATCTAAAAAGTTCAGAGCACACGCACACACAAATGTACAAGAAAAGAAAAAACCTAAATAAATGCTGATTCTGTTTCTTATCTAGTTTAAGTCTCAGAATCCAGTGACCCTGCTCAAACTGAATTCTCTTTATGCATAAACTGGAAGCATCCATCACTGTCTAGAAACTCACAAATTAATATTAGCAGGAAAAAAGGTAGGAAGTATATGCATAATCATGCATACATATTAAAATTACACATTGCCCAAGAGTTTTCCCTCATAAAAGTAAACAACTCTTCTTTAAAGGGCGATCCTAGATGTGTATGGCACACAGGTGGGTATGCCCCCAAGTTAATGACTTACTAGGGGCTTTATACAGATAAAAATCAAAACGTTAGAACCCAGGCTTGATTTCTCAAAGTGACTAAACATTCCACAGGAATAAATGAAGAGGAAAGCTAGCACTGAGTTTTGGCTTTGAGAGTGATCCTCCCAACAGACCTGAATGGTAAAGCGGGCAATGGAAGACCCCGTACCAAACCATTACGGCAGGGAGCTATACACACAGGCAATGCGAGTGCGGGGTGGGAAAAAGGGAAACAATGGAAAAATAAAAGCAGAAGATGCCTTTCTTAACCACTGAGGACATGTGCCAAGATCTGAGAGACATAATTAACACACCTCTCTACACCTGAGGGCAAAACAAACCCAAACAAAGGGAATGCCAGGGGAGCAACATATTGTATCTTCCCCCAAATCCAAGAGAAAACAATTCACCATCGAAATACTTCTGACGGACAATCAATCACAAAGTGACCTTATCAGTCTTCCAGATCAAAACAAAACAGACCTACACCTAGTTTTTAAATAAAAACTTTAAGTTGGAGGAGTTATAGTGGCATAACAGAAGAAATACCTTTGTAAGTCATCTTTCTACCACACTATCTTATCGCAGATACTCATGCAGAGAATAAATAGTCAAATCAATTATGACCCACAAGACGGCTCTTCATTCAGTGGCATGTGGCCTCAAATTGTTTCTCAAGTCTTTCTTCTCCCAAAAAAGAAGTTATATAACTTTAGATAGAAAACAATCTAGAATAAAAAGTACTGTACCCTCTCTTTCTGGCCAAAATTCAATTTTCTATCTGTTCTTAGGTAATAATAGCTTTAAAATTGTCCTTTCCACTAGCTATTCTACGTGGAGGTGAAAGCTTTAAATCTTAGAAATAATTATCAATTCACACTAAACGGGCTAAAAAAAATCAGAGTATGATGCTTATGAATGAAGAGTAAGGCTCAATATACTCCAACGTCATTTTATTCTCATTACAAAAAGACACTTGTGTTTTCCCTAGCAGTGGCAGAATATATATGAAGAGTTACAGGTGAGAAAGAAAAAGCATAAGATTCATACAGATTACCTTGAACTGATGGAAACTGTAATAGCTGGAAGAGAATATTTATAAGAATATTTCTTCTAAACAATTTTGACACTGAACTCAGTTTGGTACGTCATGTTTCAAATACCTGTTCTCCCTCAGGATCACAGATTTGTACACCAGCACAGACGACTTACATTTGCCTTCAACAACTGGTAAGCTATGGAATGCCACACAGCTAAGTATAGGAGGCTGAGACCCCATTCTATGAAAAGTGATGCTTTCTTTTAAAGTAGGAACATTATGCTTTTGGTCAAATAAACTAATACTTGGTTTGTTCACTAAGCCATCTTGACTATTCCAGGTACAATTGGTCATACCTGGAGAGACAACTCGAAAATGGGCAGAGCCCTAAAATGTTCTCCCACTAAATGCCTAATTTTCTTTTCTTCCCTTACCTGATAATGAGCCTGGGCTTGCTGCGCTGAGTTCAAGGTGACATTACAGAGTTTGCAGTACAGGGGCTTACAGAGCTCCTCCAGGGCAGAGTCTTGTTCCCCTCCCTTAGGTAACTCTTCTTCCCCTGCCAGAGGCAAGGAAGCCTCCTGCCCAAAAGGCTTCTGCAGCGGGAGCTGCAAGGTTCCTGTAGACCTGGCGGCCACTGACATAGGAGGAGAGGATGAGGACCGCTTAGGTGGAGGGAGCCCGGCGTGTTGCAAGAGGATCATTGGGTAGGAAAGCCTTGGGCATGATCCAATGGGCGATGAGAAGTCGGGTCTTCAAATCTGAATCAACAGCAAAAAAATACTCAAAAATGTAACCTCAGCAATACAACATGCAAATGACCACACCATCTGACCCCTTCCTCTACTTCCCCAAACCATCTTTGGGACTTCTTTCTTTTTGCCTCATCTAGGTGACTTCCCCTGTCTGTTAATCCACATTGACACCATGTTCTTCCACTGAGACAGGCATTATAGATTTGGCTTTACTTTGCTTGGCGCAGCTCCAACTGCGGTCCCTCTGGCCCATGAACATTAATAGCCTTGTATCCATGGCTAATTAAATCTAAAAGTCACATGGCTGAAATGGACATCAAAGGTCACCTAGTCCAGACCCCTTCCCTCAGGCACACTTACATTTAAACACTCTTGATGATAATCATGCCTAGATAAAAACACCACCGGCTAAGAACCTTACAAATGTTTCCTTTCCATCCAAACTAGTCTTTCCATCCAACTAGTATCAAAAAGAGTGAAATAAAGAGTATCCTTCTCACAATCCTTAAAACACTTCTAGAGCTAGCTAAAATATCAAGGAACTCTAGGAAGAACTCAGAGTTACAATGTGACAAAATAAGTGTACCTTCTGATCATCTAGTAATAATTAAATAGTTGAGCCAATGATTCTTCACGGCAGAGGTTGCAAACAGACAGCCTGTAGGCCACGTAGTCACAGATGTGCTCTGTTTGGAATATATAGTGTTTGATTTTATTTTGCTTTCACTTTTTAAATTGAATTAGTCATCAACATTCACGGCTTCTCTTGATAAAAGGACGATCTGGCAATACTTGGCCGGCGGTCCAACACAGGCAATAATAAGCTGGTTAGTGCTGAGACACTGGCCCCCTTAGCCAGGCCTGCCTTCTCCAGGCCACCTCAGTCCGCACTCAGCCCGCTGCCTGTTTTCATGTTACCTGCCTGCTCCCTGTAGGCCCTTCAGTTTAGGACTCCACCTCATATAACCTTAGACTATCTTCATGAGTCCCTATAAAATCAAAATATTTTCTCTCCCTTAGAGGTAAATTACCTGCACAAAATAATGTATCAAGTAAACGTCCAATGGGTAATGGATCACACTACCAAAAGCCCCAATATAACCCCAGTTCCTCAGTCGTTAGGCTATTTCCTTTCCCCTTTTAATTAAATAACTGACTATCTCTATTCTGTTTCCCTCAGAAAAGACCCAGTTATGTTCCCATCCTTCTTCAGTTTTATCCATCATTTCTCCTGCCTCCCACCCAGATGGCATCTTCTAACCCCATCTCAAAATGAACCACAGTACAGGCTTTGAGTTCCCATCATTTTAATTAACCCAAATTAAAATCCTTATTTCAAGATTCACTATTTCTTCTACTTTCTCAGTACTATTAAAACCTCTTTTCTTGGTCAATAGGATATGGCTATTTTAAACTGCTGAAATTTTCCATCTGCAATAGAAATGTATACATTTCATGACAACATATTTACTAAAATTAACCAAGTAAATTTTGCAAAAGTAATAATCTCTTTTATCACATTTAATAAGTACACATATTGGAAACTGCAATCAAGTGACTTTTCTACTAAATTCACGGTCTGGGGGCAGCAGAGGATATCAGTGCAATGAGGAAAAAATGTAGTTAAGCACAAAGTACATAAATTATTAGTCATAGTACTAAACAATACTTCTCATTAATCACAATATTTAGAAAAACAATAATATTATTTTATTCTTAAGCAGAAGTATGCTGTCCATATCTCTGGGAAGATAAAGAAAAGCAATACAGATTTAGAACATTTAAAAAGTCAAGTTCTCTATAATCGTATTATTTCTCTCAATTAAATCAAGCAAAGACATTCAGAAAGCAAAGATGGATACGGACATTTTAAAAAGTAAAACTAAGGAGACAAAGACCACTTTTATAAAAAGTTTAAGTATCTAATTATAATAATTGATAATATTAAAAGCCTACACATTTCACCTGTACAGAGACCTACTGATACCAAATTGCCACAAACAAGCTGCCAATTCAGAAGAGAAATGGTAGATGAGGGTGTCAAGACATCTGGATAAAGGAAATCAGCAATATAACCAGAAAATCAAATGCTACCAATTGCCGAGACATGTCTGGACTTGTTTTATGAAAGCTCACTCCCACTTGAGGAAATTCCTGTATGTGTCTCCCCCAGTGTTGCCTACAGGTTTCCATCAAAATAAAGGCCCTTCTCAAAGCACAGAGGTACAAGACCCCCTTCCACAGGTGATAAAATCCCCTGAATTAAGGAAAAAAATTTCGCCAAGTACAGACTTAACCATTATCACATTTTATCTTTGTAATTTTTAAAGAATAGCCAGATATTCCAAAATTATTTCTTGTAATATTTAACAAGCAAAATGATGTCAACTCCCAAAAAGGATCTGTGCATGACAATTACACCAGCTATTACTATGCTTACAAACAAAAATTAGCATAAAATATAAATCTGAAAGAAATAAAACCAAGCCTTCAGGGAAAGCATGAATGGTGGAATATAGAGAGACCCTATGCATATGCGACTCAGATCCGTTCAACTACTGCATCAGATTAAATGAAACTAACTTGTTGGCTGATGTAAATAAAATAATCCTCAGATCTTAAAAACCATTCAATTTGATCCTTGAAGTGGCATAAATGAAAGATTTACGGTGGTTAATGTCCTGGTTTGGAAGGGCTTGAGGGGACAATAAAGGAAATCAAAGCTTCACAGTGTACCCTGTTTAAAGAAAACGAATGACCATAGCATAGTTTTCATGATTGCTCTGGGGCCTACTCTTCACATACTGTATTGAAGACAATCACTTTCCCATTTGGAGAAATCTACAGACGAAAGAGAACAGTATAAAGGAACAGGTTACTGGCACCTCAGCAAACTAGGGAAGTCTGTAATTGGAATTCTAGAAACGAGGGAAAGACGGTAAGTATTACTCAGAGGTCATCAGAACGCAACAAGCAGCAATAAGAGAGGGAAAAACAGGAAAATAATCAGCTGAGGCAACGGTGTATCATATAACGAAGACTCAAAACGCAGGAACCTGGAGGAGAAGAGGCCTTGGTGAATTGGCGAATGTTTTCCAGTCTCAGCTGTGACGGTTCCTAATTCCTAGGGAACCGTCTACATGTTTGAATCAAAGCTACATACACTTCAGCATCGCCCACATATACCTTACATTCCTAAAATGTGCGTGCATCCACACGAGCGCACCCACAGACGCACCTCAATCCCGTAGGGATGCCATCACGAAAGATGGAATCCCCGGTCTCCCACGGGGCGGGGGCCAGCGCCAGGGCCAAGGCAGCTGCACGCCTAGAGGATCCAAACGGTACACGTGAAAGGCTTAAAAACAAACAGATAAATAAAAGCCGCGCAAGTCAGTCCCGTGGAGGGCAGGTGGAAAGACCGCATCAGAGAGGAACCGCTAGTCCCCGCCGCTCCCGGGCTCGTCCTGAAGCCCAGAGGCGCCGGATCGCCCGCACTTACCGGAACCCCGGGACGCGCGGGGAGTCTGGGCGCCGCGTCCGCCCGGGCCGCCCGCCGCCGGCTGCCCTGCGCGCCCGACTCGCCCGGCTCCGCTCCGCCTCCCTCGGCGCAACTTTCTCGGCTGGCCCCCGCCGAGCCCGCCCGGCAGCCGAAGGTTGACTGTCAAAAGTCAGTCCAACCGGACCCACAGGGAAACAGCTGCAGGAAGTGACTGCGGAACCGGGAGGCGGCGGAGGAGGAGACTGAAGGCGCCGGCCCGGCGTCGCTACTGCGCATGTGCCTGGCGGAGCTCGCCCCGCGGCGGCGGCAGCGTGCCTCCAGCATCCCGCGCGGGAGGGGTGCGCGCCCGGCAGGTGCGAGCGCTGCGAGCGCAGAGGCGCTGGGCGGAGATGGGGAACAAAAGCCAGAGTCAGAAGGAGGATGCTCCAGCGGCAATCTCCGCGGACAGGTCCTAAAAGCTGTTCATCCCATACCCTTGGAAAGTTGATCCAGAGCAGAAGCCTGGGCAGAGCATTTGCAACTGTCCTCTCCTGTCGTTGACATCACTCCTTTTTCATTCCAGCGCCGCCCTCCGTCTGCTGGTTGCCGGTTAAGACGGCTGAGTGGAGCTGCCAAAATGTCCAAGATACTTTTAAACTCCTGGACAGAATCTTTAAACTGCACTTTTCCCCAGCGTGGAGGAAGAAGAGAGTGGCTGGCTACTCAGTGGTCTCCAACCACACAAGAGCACGCTCACACACATACACACACTCACACACACACTCACACTTGCCCTCTCCCCTAAAGTGGGCAAGAGATAGAGATTTTCTCCTGACCCCTGGAGCCTCACCTGCAAGACAGGAAAGATCAAGAAGAGAGTGGCTCCCGCTAGAACGTCACATCCCCTCATAGTCAGCCTCAACACCTTCAGGGTTGACATTGAGAGATGAGCTGAGGAAATTCCAGCTCTAAAATTCTATTAATTTGTAAATTCTCCTATGGAAGCATTTGCCAGGGTTTTTTTTATTGTGGTAAAGTATACATAAATTTACCATTGTGATCATTTTTAAGTGTACAATTCAGTGCCATTAGGTACATTCACATTGGTGTGTGTGTGTGTGTGTGTGTGTTTTGAGGAAGATTAGCCCTGAGCTAACTACTGCCAATCCTCCTCTTTTTGCTGAGGAAGACTGGCCCTGAGCTAACATCCGTGCCCATATTCCTCTGCTTTATATGTGGGACACCTACCACAGCATGGCTTTTGCCAAGTGATGTCATGTCCGCACCCCGGATCTGAACCCGTGAACCCAGGGCCACCGAGAAGCAGAAGGTGCGAACTTAACCACTGCACCACTGGGCTGGCCCCTGTGTGCTTATTTTTTAATGATTAATTCAAATGTCAAGGAGATCTGTGTATAGCAAGATGTGCCCTAGTAGAGGCAAACTCCTGCAGGAAATGAAGGCTGTGCTTTGGCTGAAACACACCATCCGATACCATCACCAGCAAACCAGACTGACTGTTTGCCAGGAGTGGCTTCATAAAAAACAATGATTGTTTAGCAATCACACACACACAGCTCATGTATACAGGCCATTTGGGGAGAGGAATCCATCATGCCTAGGTAGAAAACAGAGTTTTTCTGAATTCATTTTCCAACTGTTTATGTATACCTACTTTATGTGTCAAAATTTTAAATGGTCACATTGTTTTTAAAGTAATAAATGCTGCTGAATTTCCCTCTCCAGCCCTTTCTCTGCATGGTCTTTAGCCACTTCACAGTCCATGCTCTTTACTAGGACCACAGCTGGGATTTGGCTTACCTTTCCAACCTGACCTCCCATCAGTCTCTGAAACAGTGAATGAAACAGAGTCACTCACGCTTGCTCACTGGGCCCCATCCATGCCACTCACTCTCCTGCCTGTGATTTAGCTCCATCTGCATCTTGAGTACAAAATGCTTTTTCTCCCCTTTCTCTGTACTTCTAAATCCTCCCCATCCTTCGAGCCTTCTCCTTCAGTGAGCTCCCATGGTGCTTTCTCCGCACACCTTGATGACACACTTAACAGTTGTTGCCCCATATTATAGTTACTTAAAGAGATGATTAATCTGCCCTGTGAATTCCTTGAGTGCAGGAAGGATATGTGTCTTGGAGTTTTCCAATTTTATATTCTATTGTTTTTTTCAGTTTTGTATGTCAGGATAAAAATCTGAAATATTAACTGAGGTACCCCATCCTCTAGCTCTGCACACACACGTGCATTCCCATGTCCCCTACCCCTGGTCTTATACTCTTCCCAGACAGCTAGGCATTTCCTTCCCTGCCTCAGGGAGAAAAAAGAAATCAATTCTCAGATGTTTGTTTAATAGATATTTGAAGCTCATAGCAGTGACCATAGTCTCTTACGTCAGAGGTTTTGATTTGGAAGAACTGTACTTCATGAGTTTCAGCTCCTAAGGATCTGAAGGAAGAAATTAGACCACTAATTACTAAACAAAGTATTAGTCAGTTTGTTTTATGGCCAAAAATGTTTATTTCTTGCTTGTATTACAAGCTGTGGGTCAGCTCCATAGGTCTTCTTTTTCCAGGTCCCAGGCTGAGGAAGCAGCCCCTGTGTAGGACTTAGTAATTCTCATGGCAGATGGCAAGGGCCAGAGAGCTGGTGGAAAGATGTAAGGACTCTTAGAGCTGCTTCTCCAATGTGTCATGACATGTCCACTCAAATGCCATTGGCCAAAGCATTTCATATGGTCAAACCCTAAGTCAATGGATAAGAGGTCCACTGTTCTTATCCATAGATTATGGATTATAATCTTCTTACAGGAGGTAGTGGGTGGTAGTTAATTGTAAACAATAATGCAATCTGCCACAAACCCAGGGGAACTGATTTTCTCACCCTGGAAGTATTGGTGTGTATCCTCAAGAAGGATCTGTACCTCCATGCCACAGTCCTAGGAATAGCTTGAAAGAAGCTATGGAGATAGACATAATAGGACCCCCGAATGTGTTTTAAGACCTAGAGACAGAGGAGATCTGAGCTAAATTCCTAGGGGGGATCAGAAAAGCAACCATAGTCTTAGGGTTTCTCTTTAATAAGCCAACAGAGAGCAGCACGTTAGCATGAAGAGTCAGAGCAATGCCCCCAAACCTGTTCTTTATTTAGAATTTATGGCATTAAAGACCATTTGAAGGGGCTGAGAGAGGACCATAGAGGGTTGAAGGGCCTAAAGGTCAGAATGAAGAAGGACAGAGCTGAGCGCATAGATCAGTGATCCAAAAGCAATGGAAAAGTGGACATCAGCTTCTCAGGCCAAAGCCAAGTGTGTTTGCATCTGAGAACCAGATGTCTCCCCTTGCCACCTGCTCACCTCCCCCCTCCCCTCCCCTCCCCCCTAAAGAATTTAGAGGCTATCCTCAGAAGAACCAGGAGGAGTCAGATCATTGTAAAG